CAAAAAGAAAAAGCAGACCATAGTGTCTTATCCTTGTACACAAAATGGATTTATTTCTGCCAATTTAAGGTATTGCTCGATGGCATACAGTTCATATGTGATCCAAACAAGCATAGATGGCAATCAACAGGTAAAAAGAAACCATTCTGCAGCTGCCCCTGCGACGCAACGTTACCCTGTGACGCAACGCGTAGGGGAGGGGCTCTGACGTCACGACATTGCACTGGAGAAGCGAGTTGATCCGAGCACAAGCGCAGACAGACAGCACTGCAGGGGCAGCTGCAGAGTGGTTTCTTTTTACCTGTTGATTGCCATCTATGCTTGTTTGGATCACATATGAGCTGTATGCCATCGAGCAATACCTTAAATTGGCAGAAATAAATCCATTTTGTGTACAAGGATAAGACACTATGGTCTGCTTTTTCTTTTTGACCAAACACCCCACGAGCTGGCATTAGGAGGAGTGAACGAGGAAACAACTCCAGGAGGGGAATTGGGAGATCCCAAGAGAGCTGATCAGTGTACTCATTGATACACAGGGAGACAAAGGAAATAACAGGAGGATCCATCTTTATGCATGTCCACCTTCTGGGACGGCTAGAGCAAGGTTATCATCCCATTTCATCTATCCTGGAAGGATAAAAAGCGTATTTGCCTGGATTCATTCAGGCAAATATAGAGGTGAGCATATAGGGAGACCATCTAGCACTCGGAAAGAAGGAACAGAAAATTTACTTGCACATTTATTTTGAAAGACTTTAATTAACATTTTATTTGTTTATTATAAGCACGTGCACATCTGTATATGTTTTTGCACTATAAGTATAGAGTGCACACAGCAATATAGAGGTGCATTATGGGTTTACACCATGGCACCCATTAAGGCACTATCACTTTAGGATTATCCATTATGCATGTTATTTATATGTATATTTTTATATATATGTTTAGTGTTATAGTCACAATTCACTATTGTTGATATTGCAATTGATATTGATCTTTCTGCCTTTAGTTTTGCCTTCAGCAAGTGAAATGCATGCTCAATTGGGTTGAGATCAGATGATTGACTTGGCCATTGCAGAATATTCCACTTCTTTTATTTCAAAAGCTCCTGGGTTGTTTTTGCAGTGTCACGGTCTGGGTCAGGTTCAGAGACCAGTTGCTATAACAGTGAAAGGCTTACCTGAAACCAGCAGGATTGGTACACCAGCGGGTCACCCTGGGAAATAGCGTAGGCTCACCTTATTTCCTAAGTATTAACCAGTTTTCACCAGAGCTCCTAGTGGTGGAGATGGATTTGGCTGCGTGTTAATACCAGGTCGCAGATCTCAGGATCACCCCACCAGGGTATGAGCAAGCTGGAATCCAATAGCGGATCAAGCAGGTTAGGGATCAAACAGAAGCGGAGTCAGTCACAAGCCAAGGGTCGGTCACAAATGGTAGCAGATGAGGATGAGGCAAAATCGTAGTCAGTAGCAAGCCAAAGGTCGGTAGCGAAGATGTAGACGGCAGCAGAAACGATAAGCAGGGTATTGGCTGGGAAGGCACAATAATCTGGCAGAGACGAAATGCAGAGGAAGTTCATGGGAGGAGCAAGGAGTTCAAGGTTCAACAGAAAACAAGGGACAAGGCAGGATTGTCCAATAGATCAGGCAGAGTGTTGTCCAGCATCCCAGGTAGCTCAGTGAGAAGAAACATTGCCTCTCACTGCAGAAGGCCCAGGTTCGATCCCAGGCTCTGACATGCAGTGTGTTTTGGATCATTGTCCATCTGTACTGTGAAGCGCCGTCCAATCAACTTTGCTGCATTTGGCTGAATCTGGGCTGACAGTATATCTCTAAACATTGTAGAATTCATCTGGCTGCTTCTGTCTTCTGTCACATTATCAACACCAGTGACCCAGTGCCACTGGAAGCCATGTATGCCCTGCCCATGCCATCAAACTGCCTACAACATGTTTTACAGATGACGTTGTGTGCTTTGTATCATGTGCTGTTTCAAGCCTTCTCCACACTTATTTCTTCCCCTCATTCTGGTACAGATTAATCTTAGTTTCATCCGTCCAAAGAATGCTTTTCCAGAACTGGTCTGGCTTTTTTTTTTAGATGTTTTTTGGCAAAGTCTAATCTGGCTTTTCTATTCTTCAGGCTTATGAATGGTTTGCACCTTGTGGTGAACCCTCTGTATTTCCTCTCCTGAAGTCTTCCCTTGATTGTAGACTTTGACAATGATACGCCCACCTCCTGGAGAGTGTCCTTCACTTGTCTGGATGTTGGGAATGGGTTTTTCTTTACCATAGAGAGAATCCTGCGATCATCCACCACTGTTGTCTTCCATGGATGTCCATGCCTTTTTATGTTGCTGAGCCCACCAGTGCATTCTTCTTTCCTCAGAATGTACCAAACTGTTGATTTGGCCATTCCTAATGTTGCTGCTACCTCTCTGATGGATTTGTTTAGTTTTTGAAGCTTTGCAATGGCCTATTCCACTTGCAAGGACAGCTCTTTTGAACACATGATAGATTCCAAATGCAAACACCACACTTAGAATCAACTCCAGACCTTTTACCTGCTTAATTCATGAATAAATAATGAAGAAGTAGCCTATATCTGCCCATGAAACAGCTTTTGATTCCTTACTTTTGGTCCCTTGAAAAAAGGGGGGATGGCTACTCTTAAGAGCTGTAATTCCTAAACCCTTCCTCCAATTTGGATGTACATACCCGCAAATTAAACCTGAGAGTGTGCACTTTCAGCCCATGTTCATTATATAACTATAGCTTGAATATGTCTTAGTAAATACCTGAAACAATTAAATTGTGCCTGTGTCCAAATATATATGGACCTAACTGTATATGCTTAAATTGGTATTAAACCCAAAACTGTGATATATTGCAGCTTACTAAGCAATAGTTCTGGTGGCTGCATTCGTTTTTTTAGGCTTTTTCCTTCTGTTTTCACCTGGTGATCTGGCCAGTAACACTCCTCCTGTATTAGAGTGCCCCCACTCAGGATGAAGACAGAAACACATTTGGATAGCAGCATAGTCAGTCTGGGGAAAGGAGAGCACTAGATGTACCTAAAGCAGGAACTGTGGTGTGCCACTTGAACTCAGAGTCAGTCTATCTATTCAGTCCCTCCCTAGTAGTGTCTGCATAATTTCCTTTTGGCTTGGAGCAGGAACAGTACATGTGGCTGAGACTTCCCTCTTTCTCCTCTTCCTCCTTTCTGGGTTTCCCAAGCCAATAACTGGGGGCAGAAAATGCATACATAATCTATTTACAGGCATTTACAAATTCAGACAGTAAAAGGTTGCAGATCCCTGCACAAACTATTAAAAATGAAAAGCCTTTATTTCATTAGCAATCTTCTCTTTCTTATGAAACTTTTAGACTGGAGGTTCACACTAATGCGGTGCAGGAAATTGCAGTCGCATGGTGTTCATGCAGTCTGGTGCAGGTGTCAATGTTAAAATAATGACACCCGAAACAGATTGCAAAATGCAGTGCGATTGCCAGAAATTGCATTGCATGAGTGAGAACACCCATGCGATGCAATTCAAGTGCTGGTAAAAAAAAGGGTCTTGCATATTTTTGGTGCGGATGTGATTTGAGTCACACAAAATGTATGACTTAAGTCACACCGCACAGACATCAAATGTGATTCGCACTGGAATGTGGTGCGAATCCTGTGCTATTTACATGCGATGTCCTGCACTGCATTAGTGTGGACCCAGTCTTAGGCTGGGTTCATGCCTATGCTTTTTGCTTTTGATCTGTTTTTTACTGCTTTTTGCAATGTGCTTTGATTTTTATACTCAAGTTTTTTCCGCATTTTTACTGCGTTTTTTTCAGCTTTTTTTTTAAAAAGTGGAAAAATATTTGTTGCTGGGCAGAAAAAGAAACTCAAAATGCAGCAAAAAAAACGCAGCAGCTTCACCATTGAACTCTATTGTCTGCTCTGACCCCTGGTTCACACCAGTGTGTTTTTTGCAGAAACGCACTACAGTCCATTTAACATGGTTTCATATGGGACATGTTCACATCTATGCTTTTTTTGAGCTGCTGTGCTTTTGGAAAGGGTCATAGACATTTTTAAATGCAAAAAGCAGCGTTCTTGCTACATTTCAATGAAGAAGCTGCTGAAACGCATGTAGTGCGTTTTTGCTGAGTTTTGCATTTTTTTCTGCCCAGGAAACAAAACATTTTCCACTTTAACAAAAAAAAGCTGAAAAAACCCCCACAAAACACGGTAAAAACTTGCATGTAAAAAAGCAAATCACAATGCAAAAGGCATTAGAAAATGGATCAGAAGCAAAAAGCATAGGTGTGAACCAAGCCTGACCCTTTCCAAAAATGCGGCAGCTCAAAAAAGCATAGATGTAAACATGTCCCCTGTAGTGCATGGCTGCAAAAAGCACTAAAAAACGGATTGGTGTGAACCAGGGATAAAATAAGCTCTGGTGAAACAATTTTCCTTCAGACAACACATAAATAGTTAAATAGAGTTCGTTATTGGTTACTCTGAAGGAGCTACAAGTTGGGAGTAACCACCCACGGGACAGCAGAAACTGTTGCGTATAACTGGAAGACAATACAGCTCATCACCATGAAAACACCATCCCCACTGTTAAGCTTAGCGTTGGTGGTAGGTGGCAGGGGGGTCATTGGTATTGTCTTGAGAACATTTTCAGAATTCGGGGCAAGATGTATGGTGCTAAATACAGGCAAACTATAGAAGAAAACCTGTTTCAACTGGAAGAGACTTGAAGTTGGGCATTGGTTAACCTTCTATCAAATGCATAGCCAAAGCTTCACTGAAGCTGTTGAACCAGTGTAACTCAATTAGAAAAAAAATCCAAATTCCAGGTTTTAAGACAACTGAATGCAGTAAAAGTCCAAAGGAGTGAATACTTATGCAAAACTCCGTATTTAATATCGATTTTGCATTACACTGTAGATTTGTTTACTTACATGCTGTGTTTTGCTTTGCAGAGAAAGGATGCGCCATTCTGCAATGTATGAGCTTTGCCAAAGTATGCAGCAGATAAGTTTTGAGTTTAACCGTTTGCAGATAACCTTTGAGGAATACACCGTAATGAAAGTTTTGCTGCTGCTAAGCACAGGTAAATTCAAACTAATTGCTGTCCTATGCATGGTTATGTTATTGTACCTGTTTTATTACACCCATATGGGCCATAATAGTACTATATAAAAGCAATTTCAGCTGTTTCTGACTATTTGGAAATTAGAGTAGAGAAGTACCCAGCAAGCTCTGAACACATTTTCCTTATACTACCCATTGTAAATATTCAGAATTTATTTATACCTTTCATACTCCTGCATACTAAAAACAAAACAGTATTCATATTTTCAGGTTATTTAAAGTACTAGTGAACATCCACTTTTTTAAATAAATACATTCTCATTAACTAGGTAAATCTTCCCTGGTGCAAAATTTAGTTCACATATGTGCCCAAGCACTTGTTTTTCATTCCTCATTGGTGTCGGCTATAAATCCTTCAGCTCAGTTTCCCCAATTTTCTTGTTGGAAAGCCTGCTTACTGGGTACCAGATCACAAGGGTCGGTAGCTGTCCATCTATTGGGTTTTAAGTTGGAGGAGGCAGGAGTGGAGGAGTGGCTTGCTATACTGGGCTGCGTGTTTATGTTGGTACGCACAGTGTAGGACATTTAGGCTCTAGTCTTTACTGAGACTTCATACGCAAGGGTGGATCCATAGGACTCTGCGAGGGACAGGAGCCACCCTGAAAAGGGAAAGCTGGGCTAGCACTGAAGAGACCAACTGAATCAGGTGTTAGATATTTTTACAGCATATATTGTAAATCTTCACCTCAGCAGGAGAAACAGATTAAAAAAGGCTTTAATATCACTTTAATTCAAACTCCACAAGGGTTAATAATTTTACTCTAAAATTCTGAGATTTTCTGTTTGCATATGTGTATCCACACTTAATGTCTATATCTGTTCTGGTAACATTCTGCAATTCCACAGCAATATACAATTTGTATTGCGTCAAACAATTAAGAAGGTATTTAAGCAGCAAAACAATCTTTTGTTGCTTAAAATGAGAAAACTAATGAGTGATTTTTTTGTGAGGTATGTGGGTGAGATGAAAAGGGCAAAGTTAAGTGGGACTTGTTCAAAGCAACTTTTGTGGCCTTTATATCTTTTGGATAGATGTGTCTATCTGAAAGATATGGCAATTTGTATCAATACCAGCAACTGACTGGCCTTGTGTGTTAAAAGGGAACTATTAGCAATATATGTGTAATCACTCATTCTATTAGCGGCTAAGAAGGCACTCATCCCCCCTATTCTAGTGACTTCAAGGCTGGACGGACATGAGTGATTTTTGCTAGTGAAATCACGCTACTAAAATTGCTCACAATTAAATTCTGGGAATTGCTATACATGCAGTTTAATGCAGTAGCAATCCATTGCACACTTTAGAAGCATTGTCTATTGTTATCAATTATCATAATCACTTCTACATGCTGCACTCTTTGGATCTCTGTATGTATCAAGTGATCACTAATTGCTTTGACAAAAATTGCTGTGCACATGCACCCTAACAATTAACTGACTACCTCACAGGGCCCCCCAAAATAAAGTCTTTTAGGTACAAACTCTGTACTATGTCACAGTGAGCAGTGGTGCTACTCTACTGCAAAGAGATTCAGAAGCTGATGTGCCTGCATAATACTGGGTACACATGAGCTTAGTTTTCAACTGAAGAGACAAATAGACATACAGTTATATGTATTTTATTAGAAGTATAAATGACAGTCTGTAGCATAATTTGCTATAATATTTCAGTATGCTGACAGATTTATGTTTCAGTGTAAAAACATTTGCTTTAATGGTAGTGAATGGCTGTGCATAGTCTATGGTCTTTTTGTTGTAATGGTATAAATGAAGGAAAATGCATGTGTATTATCACGCTTTAAAACACACAATAGGATGCTAAACATACAGTATGTCAAAAATGAATTTAAAATCAAGCAGTTAAAAGTCAAGTTTTAATGTTTTTTTTTTTTAACTTAAACAATGAAAAAAAAGCAACTTCGAGTTCCATTGATCCAATTAAAATATCAGGAAGTATGAAACTTATACATAGTTTTGTTATTCGGGATCTTAATGTTATTACATAGATAGCTAGTCGGGATAGATAGAATAAATATATGATTTTGTTATTTTGTAAGATGTTAATACATGAATTGACATGATACGTCGGGTTAAATAAGTGCTGGACACATCACCATTTTTCTAGGTAAATATAGTGCCTTGAAAAAGTATTCATACCCCTTGAAATTTTCCACATTTTTCATATTACAACCAAAAAACGTAAATGTAATTTATTGGGATTTTATGTGATAGACTAACACAAAGTGGCAATTGTGAAGTGGAAGGAAAATGATAAATGGTTTTCAAACTTTTTTACAAAAAAATATCTGAAAAGTGTGGTGTGCAATTGTATTCAGCCCCCTTTACTCTTGATATCCCTAACTAAAATCTAGTGGAACCTTCAGAAGTCACCTAATTAGTAAATACCGAGTCAGCTTGTGTGTAATTTAATCTCAGTATACATATGGCTGTTCTGTGAAGCCCACAAAGGTTTGTTAGAGAACATTAGTGAACAAACAGCATCATGAAGGCCAAGGAACACACCAGACAGGTCAGGGATAAAGTTGTGGAGAAGTTTAAAGCAGGGTTAGATTATAAAAAATATCCCAAGCTTTGAATGTCTCACGAAGCATTGTTCAATCCTTCATATGAAAAAATGGAAAGAGTATGGCACAACTGCAAACCTACCATGCCATGGTCGTCCACCTAAACTGACAGGCCGGGCAAGGAGAGCATTATTCAGAGAAGCAGCCAAGAGCCCCATGGTAACTCTGAAGGAGCTGTAGAGATCCACAGCTCAGGTGGGAGAATCTGCCCACAGGACATCTATTAGTCATGCATTCCACAAATCTGGCCTTTATGGAAGAGTGGCAAGAAGAAAGCCATTGTTGAAAGAAAGCCGTATGAAGTCTTGTTTGCAGTTTGCGAGAAACCATGTGGGGGACACAGCAAACATGTGGAAGAAGGTGCTCTGGTCAGATGAGACCACAATTTTACTTTTTGGCCTAAAAGCAAAACGCTATGTGTGGCAGAAAACTAACACTGCACATCACCCTGAACACATCATCCCCACCGTGAAACATGGTTGTGGCAGCATCATGTTGTGGGGATGCTTTTCTTCAGCAGGGACAGGGAAGCTGTTCAGAGTTATTAGGAAGATGGATGGAGCCAAATACAGGGCAATCTTAGAAGAACACCTGCTAGAATCTGCAAAAGACTTGAGACTGGGGCAGAGGTTCACCTTTCAGCAGGGCAATGACCCTAAACATACAACCAGAGCTACAATGGAATGGTTTAGATCAAAGCATATTCATGTGTTAAAATGGCCCAGTCAAAGTCCAGACCTAAATCCAATTGAGAATCTATGGCAAGACTTGAAAATTGCTGTTCACAGACGCTGTCCATCAAATCTGACAGATCATGTGAACTTTTTTGCAAAGAAGATTGGGCAAAATTTTCACTCTCTTGATGTACATAGCTGGTAGAGACATCCCCAAAAAGACTTGCAGCTGTAATTGCAGCGAAAGGTGGTTCTACAAAGTATTGACTCAGGGGGGCTGAATACAAATTCATGCCAAACTTTTCAGATATTTATTTGTAAAAAAATTTGGAAAACCTTTTATCATTTTCCTTCCACTTCACAATTATGTGCCACTTTGTGTTGGTCTATCACATAAAATTCCAATAAAATACATTTACGTTCGTGGTTGTAACATGACAAAATGTGTAAAATTTCAAGGGGTATGCCTACTTTTTCAAGGCACTGTATATTTCTAAAGTCGCTATTGACATGAAATGTTCACCACATGTTGGTAACAACCCATGCAATTCATACATACAAAGAGACCAAAACAAATAAGTTCAGAAATTGTTATGTCTAATAAAATGGAATAACACTTGAAGAAAGGGAGGTGCAAAAAGGCATGGAAAGCCAAGACACAGCTGGAATCTATCAATAATTAGAAAGCAATCCTACCCCTTGTCATTTCAAATTAATAACAGCTGGTTCAGTCTCAACTGATGGCCTATAAAAAGTGTCTTGTTATCAAGGTATTACACTAGAAACATCTCATAATGCGTAAAAGCAAAGTGCTCTCTCGCAACCTTATTGTTGCACAACATAAAGATGGTATTCTTTACAGAAGGATTTCTAAACTTCTGAATGTTCCAGTGAGCACTGTTGGGGTCATAATCCGGAAGTGGAAAGAACATCATTTCACCATAAACCAGCCACAACCAGGTGCTCCTAACAAGATTTCTGACAGGAGTGAAAAGAATTATCAGAAGAGTTGTCCAAGAGCTAAGGGCCACTTGTGGAGAGCTTCAGAAAGACCTGGAAATAGCAGGTACAATTGTTTCAAAGAAAACAATAAGTAATGCACTCAACCGCCATGGCCTGCATGCGCACTCACCACTCAAGACTCTATTGCTAAAGAAAAAGCATGTTGAAGCTCGTTTAAAGTTTGCTGCACAACATTTAGACAAGCTTGTGGCATACTGGGAGAATATAATCGGGTTAGATGAGACCAAAATTGAACTCTTTGGATGCCATAATACACACTATGTTTGGAGGTCAAATGGCACCACTGCACATCTACCCAAAAACACCACGCCAACAGTGACGTTTGGAGGTGGGAACAGCATGGTGTGGGGCTTTTTTGCAGCATATGGTACTGGTAAATTTCATATAATTAAAGGAAGGATGCATGGAAAAATGTACCAAGACATTCTTGATAACAATCTGCTGCCTTCTACCAGGATGATGAAGATGAAACAAGGGTGGACATTTCAGCAAGACAATGGTCCCAAACACAAAGCCATGGAAACTTTCAATTAGTTTCAAAGAAAGAAAATAAAGCTCCTAGAATGGCCCAGCCAATTACCTGACTTGAATCCAATAGAAAATCTATGGAAATAACTAAAGATCAGAGTTCATAGAAGAGGTCCACAGAACCTTCAAGATTTGAAGACTGTGTGGAA